CTGGAGTGGCATTGCCATTTCCTACTCCAGGTGGATTGCGTTTAGTTGGAACTCTCCACTATGACCTGTGCATCTTGGGTGGCTCTGCACAGCATAGCCCATAGCCCATAGCTTCTCTGAGTTACTCAAGCCCCTTCGCCATGACAAGGCAGCAATCCATGAAGGAGCAGCAATCCATGAAGGTCCTGTACAATACCTCATTAACCAAAACACTTTTACTTAGGGAGGTGCACACACAGTTTGCGCCCACTTGATGTCTTAAAAGAGGGTCAGATACACATTGGATGCTCTCTGACCTCTGCAGCACATGCTTATTGATGTTCATAGAGCTGTCCCCTCAGGCTATGTCACAGATGGAAGTGATTGCTGGATTAACTCAGTGGCATTGACAATCTGCTGTGTAGCCTGCATGACTGGCAACACTGGAAATCACATCCAAAGGCAGAGGTTGCTTCCAGAAAAGAGGCTTTGTGGGCCCCTTACATACTTTGATATGTGGCAAGCCTCAATCATCTGCTGCATATCCCCCCATAGCATCTCCCTTAATACAAGTTTTGTGTAATCCCGGTTTCTAACGTCTTGCAGGGCATCCAGACAAACCATGGTATTTTAACTCTCTTACATAGGTAGGTTAAGTGTCCATTCCTTTTTTATTTTGTTTTTTACAAGCAAGTGTGACAACCCCAGACCTACTGGGATATGCCACAGTTTCACTAAGCTGCCACCAACCATTCCCTGTAAGGAGTCACACAGACCAGGAATGGATTTGCAACAAACAAAGGAATAAGGTTTATTTAAATCACACACAGGGAAAATAAAATGATCAAGTGAATAAGATACAGTAACGTGGCTTAGTCTCAATCATACATACACCAGTTTGGTTCACACAGAACACCTTTAAATAAAGCACAGACCCTGAACCTATCAGTTCTGGCTACCCATAAAGACACCTGAACCTATCAGGTAGGTACTGACTGACACACAGTAGTACCCTGTCTGACACACAGACTCCCACGCATCTCCCTTAATACAAGTTTTGCATAATCCCAGTTTCTAACGTCTTGCAGGGCATCCAGACAAACCATGGTATTTTAACTCTCTTACATAGGTAGGTTGTTTAAGTGCCCATTCCTTTTTTATTTCGTTTTTTACGAGCAAGTATACCACACAAGATACACTCATGTTCTGGGGTTAAAAATGTAGACCAAAATCCTATTCAGTGATCATATAGCATCGGATGGAACTTTCCCCCCAACCCATGACAGACAGGTAACATCAGTGCTGTATGTAAAAGCAAGTATACCGCACAAGATAACACTCGTGTTCTAGGGTTAAAAATGTAAACCAAAATCCTATTCAGTGATCATATAGCATAAACTTCCACTTCCCAAATTGCCTTGGATCACACCATTGCACAATCGTTTGTTCAAAGGAGATTGCAAGCCCCCAATCTGTGTTACATTAGTCTCACTGCAGAATGTTAAGGATCACACTCGTGCACACTCAAAAAAGGTGCCACTGTTTACACAGCCATCTGCAGGTGGAAGAACCTCTTGTCCTGGGGGGGATATGTGTTTCACATAACAAAAATCACATGAACATAATGACAATAATAGATCATGATCGTCAAGTGCAGAATGTTGTTCCGGCAGACCTTCCAGATAGAGTTGTCCTCGCATGAACGGTTAAAAGACATACTGTAGCTGCCCCAATATTTCCTCCTGAGCATGCTGTTGTTGTTGTTAAGACAAAAAAGAGGAGCAGTGGTTGGAAAACCTGGGAACACTACTGATGGAAGTTAACATCTGAACCCCCTGTGAATGATGCAGGGCAACTGTGTGCGGAAAGCCTTGTTCGGAAGCATCCTTCGACACAAAATGCAGTGTACTGAGGGCTCATACTGATAGCTACTCTTTTTAAAAATGTAAGTCTTTAGGCCTTATGGCTGTAAACTTGGGGTTGAAAGTGGACAGGCAATACCGTGTAAATCCTGCAAAGCTCTTCGGGAATTCAGTAGGATTTGCAAGGTTTCCAAGATGCTGCCTCAGCACCCTGCATCATTCCTTACTCTGGTTAGAAAGAGCTGCTATAAATTGTGCAATGAAGCATTCATTGATAATATGGACAATTTACACATTTTTTTAAAAATGGTGGATCCTGAAATAATTTTTGGTTTTTTAAAACAGAAGTCTTTATATACAACTTGTTATATACAGATATCAGTCAGTGATCTCAAGGGACAGAGGCAGGCAACTGCCATCAGAAGAATATATATCTCCAAATAACCTTGCTGTGCTTAGCTTTAGAGATGAGCAGCGTAAGGAGAGAATGTGTCTGTCACCTACAGCAAAGAACTAAAAGTCTTTGTCCTATATAAACTCTTTTTCTGTAAATTCAGAGCTCTTCTCAAATGGCTTTACTGCATTTCCAGTCACACTTCTACCAAATTAAGATAGAATTCTTGATCAGAATTGTTATGTATGCTGGGCAAATCCTGGGAGGGAGTGTTATTTTATACATGTGAAGAAATGGGCTCCAGTCCTCAAATATTTATGGCCCAGAAAATGTATTAGATGCCTTTAAGGTACTTTTATCCAGTTACTGATACAACAGAATAATATGGCAAACCCTCTGGACACAACAAACTCTGTGCTATCCTATGACTGGCCATAAAAATGTCTTCCATGACACTGTTTGACTACCCAGACCCCATTCATAGATAGAGAGATAGAGAGATAGAGAGACAGACAGACAGACAGACAGACAGACAGACAGACAGACAGACAGACTGTGTGTAATAAATATGAACGTAAATTCTTTCCTCTAGTTTTAGACTATGCTCATTTAAATCATGAAGAGAAAATCGGAGACAATCCTTTCGTGTCCAAGACAGTCTCTGTCGGATAGAGATCTATGTACCAACATCAATGCACCGGCAGGCAAAGTTAGGCAAACAATATATCACTTTTTGACATTTGCTCATTCAACGCATACATGGTCAAACAACAGACCACCTCCGCAAGCCTCCACTGTGGATTGATTTCTGAAAGCTGACTGACAGCTCTGCCAATTGGTAAAAGCAGTATCATCTTTCTCCACTATAATATACTTTGTCTCTTCCCCACAACATGAATTTAAGCCAACCCAAAGGAAATCTTATTCTAAAGATCAAAATATAGATCGGCTTCCCTTCTGTGGAGGAAAAAAAAGAGAAGGCAAACAGATGACCAGTTTAGCTAGACGCAATATTTTCTTTAACAAGGAAAGCAAACAAACCAACTATTAATTAAATACCAAACTCTTACGAAGTCAACTGAGAGGATCAGACCCCAAATGAAGGGTTTGTACTACCTACCACCTATTACTTTGCTTATTCTCAAAACAGGAAAGTTCTTTGAGGAATGCTAAACAGCCCCTTCAAGAACGATAGGTCTGCCGTCGCACGTACCTGCCAAACAGCAGTAAGCAACTGCAAACCGTTCATGCAGGAATTCAGCCCGTGGTGTTGTGAAACTTACTTTTTCTTTGCACACAGTTGGATAAAACACAGTCCTGTCAAATTGTTGAACTACAACCGCCATCAGCCCCAGCCAACATAGCCAATAGAAAGGAATGCTGGTAGTTGCAATTCAATAACAACATGAAGGCAGCACTTTGGTCACTTCTGTTTCAGCATGTTGAGTGGGTGCTGTTAATGGAGCTGGATGAATACCTGCTTTAATCGTAATCATACAGAGGCTACTATGCTAGCCATGTTGTTTGAGCACGACATATTTGGACTCATAACAACAACGAATGTAGTGCTTTTGTCGGGATTTTCAAGGTATTGGAAATGCTTAAGGAGTAGTTCTACCAGAGCCACTCCCCAGCAAAGTTCCATTGCTGAGCAGGGGTTTGACCATAGATGTTCTGAGTCCTAGACCATCGCTCTGTCCACTACTCCACATTAGCTCTCATAAGCTGTTTGCCATGTGGAATCTCCAGTGTTTCACCACTTCTTAGATGGGATGTTAAGGTGAAGATCAAACATGGTGGTACAGTTCTGTATTTATTTATCCAGGGTATTTATATGCCACTGTACAACCAAGTTCCCAGGACAATTTACAGCAAGAATAAAAGCAGATTGAAAATATATTTGGGAAAGACCAGCAATGAAATGTTGGAGAGCAGCATAAAAGAAATGATCATAGATAAAGCAAGAGCAGATTAAAAGGCCTGGTTGAGTAACAAGTTCCTTGGCCTGGCACTCAACGATATCAAGATGGGCACCAGGTGGGCCCCTCCAGGAAAGACATTCCAGCATCAGGGTGCCATAAGAATGTACTTTTCCTAGTAGCTATTTATGGTGCCTCATCTAACAGGGGCACACAGAAAAGGGCCAGAGAAGAAAAACAAAACCTTCTGTTCCAGATAAACACAAATATCCAATTCTCCACATAATTTGATATAACACAGGTGCTGACCTGCGTGGATAGACCTACTTAGCATTAGTATTTATATAAAAGTCTGGTGTTAAATGTCCCAAGTACTTCATGCTTGTGAGATTGCTTATCTTTAAAATAACCCAATGAGCCAGGCCTTCTGTATAGATAGATAGAGATCTAGAGATGTTAGCTTGCCTAAGGCCTTCTGATCACTTAATAAACAAGGTGAGATGTGAGCTAGGAACATCCTTCCTGGAATTTCCTCTACAAATCTGTATAAATCTTTTAGAGATCTGCCTTAAGTATAGCCCTTGTGGCAATTTGAGACCAGTTCATCTGCACACAACTGTTTTTTTTAAAAAAAACCTCATCCCATATCAACAGCCCACATGACCAGTGCCATAGAATAACAAATTAAAAAATAGGAACATTTTTAAAAAATAAAATTAAAAAGACCCTACGATCCAAAAATATACACAAAAGGAAGATGACTCCTTTACTGTTATATATTATATGTAAGATCAAGGACTTCACTTTGGTACCATGGCATTTGTCTTTATTTTCTTTTTAATACAGTATCCAGATTCTCCAGCCCAAGAGTGACACCAAGATTAAGCCGGAAGCGAGCGCTTTCTATATCTCCATTGTCTGATGCCAGCATTGATCTCCAGACAATGATCCGCACTTCACCAAATTCCTTGGTGGCTTATATAAATAACTCCAGGAGTAGTTCTGCAGCAAGTGGTTCTTATGGGCATTTGTCAGCAGGAGCAATAAGGTAAACCTTCAGCCAACGTTTCCTACCATAGGCCTTCTGAAATGAGTGGAACAGCTCAGTGTAGGGCTACCCCTACCATTAGATTGGTTGAGGCAATCACTTCAGATGGCAGATCCAGTGGCAGCCTCCAGAACACCCAGTACTCTTGAGCTCTATGCGGTTCCCCTCTGTTAGAGAACATAGAGGGGTTTTTTTTACCATGTAGATTCTTCTGCCCAACTCTCCCAAACTAGCTGACTGCCTTGAGACACAATGGAAGACATTACCATTGCCAGTGTTGATGTACATTTCAAATATCACTTCAGTGTACCTCTCTATATCGAATAGAGGGAGGGGGCATTTTTACCTCAGGCAGCAAAACACCTTGGATTGGTCCTATCCAGATCGGATTATGGAAGCTTTCATTCTGAGGTGTCCTGAGTCTCATGTGCCCTGTCGTCAAAGCCAGTGTTATAGAAAGAGAAGAAGCATGTGCACATCTGATTTCATTTCTATGGTGTAAGTCTCCCACACAGAAATGAAGCTACTCTTTGATCTCAGTCACAAAGTACAATACATTATGACTGACCAACTCTAAAGATGTGAGGAGATTATCCTATGTGGTGCCTGATATCTCGGTATGGATATTCACCTTAAGTGATCCATGACTTTAAAAAGTACCAACAATGCATGAACTTTGGCTCTTTCAGGACTTCAGCCCCCCCCCCCGAATAATTTTGTACTCTTCAAATGTAGTGCAGGCAATAGGCAAAGGCCAGGTCTGGTGAGGTAGATGGGCCTTGTAAGATAATAAAAGGTTTTGAAAAAAGAGGGAGAAACAGCTCTAAAATTACTTCTTTGGAAAATGCCATTATGTTTGTCAAGTTTCAAATTCTTACAGACGAGAGTCTGGAAAGAATTGCTGTTTCAGATAACAATTACCAAAGTCCCTAGTCAGCATAAGAGTGAAAAGATACTCATAAATTTTGACCTTCTCCTGACTCCCTTAACAAGCAGACTGCCCTGCTCTGAATTAGTCATTATTCTCAACAATGTATTATAATATTTTCTCTTATTATATTTTCCCCTGCCTTTCCTCCAGTCCTGCCTTCACCTTCCCTCACCCAATCAATCCAGTGACATACCAGCAGATTCTGAATCAGCAACGAGGCCTGAGCTCAGCATTTGGACACACACCTCCCTTCATACAGCCGTCGCCAACGTTCCCTGCACGGCAGCATGTGGCTGTCATCTCTGTGAACTCTACACCTGCTCAGATGAGCAACAGCAGCAATTGCATAGCTGATTCTAACCAGGTAAGCATCTGGAAAGATTTTAACTGGCTCCCGACAAAGCCCTTTAGAAAGATGCAGAGTCTCTCTTTAATCTTTTCCATTGCCTCTGTGTTTCACTGCAAAATTCAAGTTTATTTTAAACACACAGCAAATCACTGATGTGACATTGTGGCCTTTGCAACAGAGCCTGAAACTATGACAAAATGCTCAGCTCACACTTCGAAGCTGATACCCTTTCCCCTTTTTCCCACAATGTGAGGTGGGTTTTTTGGGGGTTTTTTTGTTTGTTTGTTTGTTTTGAGATAACAGCCTGGGCAATCAGACTTACAAATTACAAGTTAAACCTTCTAACGACCAATCACAAAAGAAAGCTTCCTGGAATGCAAGATACAGGGTAGAGTGAGACCATATGCTATGACAAACACAGAGCTCAAAAGTAAATAGAAGACCTACAGCATGGCTGAATTAATTCTTGTCACGAATTAATTTGCAGCTCCTGTTCATAAACTGTGACAGGGTCAACCCCACCATTAAGCAAACTGTGGCCTATCTACCTCAGGCAGGAAATTGTGGGCACCAAAATAGGATAGCAAACTGTTCATTTCATTTTTTTTTTCTTACTATGTTTTTACTTAGATCATACATGTCTTGACACATGTGAATGAGGGACACGATTTGCAATGAAATGGGCAGTTCTGTTTGGTGAATTTGTTATATAATGTCAGGGATAGCCAATTAGGATGATGTTGGCCTGCAGCTCCCATCATCCTTCCACAGTGACTGCTGCTGCTAAGGCCAGTGAGAGTTGCATTCCAATAACCTGTGTAGGGCCTCCATCTCCAGTCATAAATGATGATATTACTATATTCCTCTGAAAATATTAATAAGATGTCTTCATGCCCCACCCCTATTTTTCTTTCCTTAGAGCAAGCACAGCAGTGAGTCAGCAGTCAGCAGCACTGTCAATCCAGTAATCAATAAGCGCAGTAAAGTCAAGACTGAAATGGAGACTCTACCACCAGCTTCCCCACCTGCTCAGGTAACCCCTTGATGCATCTTGTCTTCAATGCCTGAGCTGATGAACCCCAAGATGTAACTCCCAACAGCTATTTAAGACACATTAGTTAATTCTTACGTGCATTCATTAACGGGGCAGTAGATTCCAAAGCAATAGATTTGTTGCTTGGAAAACATGGAAGGCCACGATTATGACATCAGCAGGATTCACATCTCTGTCTTTTGGAATGCATTTATTCAGAGCTTTCTATCCAGTGATGGTGTTCATCTCCCTTTTATGAGGTCCTCAAAATCATGGGGTGTCTCTCCTCATCTAGGCTATCAAGGAAGTTATCTTAATATCCCAAAGCTATGTATCTCATTTGGGGAAAATTCAGCAGATTGGATTTGAGTTATTCACAGATAGAAATTTACGGTATATGCTATCTTTGTGACATGGTTACTGGTCTCCTATGATGAACTCTTGTTATATTGATGAAATCTGCAATCCCACATCATATAGAATGCCCATAATATATGAAAGTACCACACATTCATTAATGTGGAACCACATTTCCATTAATTTTACAAGTGTGAGAAATAAGAACTTTAGACATTTGGACAGACCGATGTGATGGAAGAGTTCACCATAGAAGAACAGCATCACTATAAAGACAATAAAGTTCAAGTGATGCCTTAAAGCAATAAAGTATACATGAAGTTTTAGGATGGCCGTATTCTAATTCTCCAATCCTAGTGATCTAACTCGCTTGTTATGCAAATTTGTAAAATACGCAAATTCACAACAACTGTGGTATTGTCCTTTGCCAAAGTATTCCAGTGTTTAAATCATTTTATTTATTTATTTATTTATTTACCAAAGTATTCCAGTGTTTAAATCATTTTTTTTTTTTGTAACCATTGACCTCAGAGAGCTACTAGTGTAATAGTTCAAATCCTGGCTAGATCTACCTTATAGAGTTATTTTGGGACAAAATGGGAATAGGAGAACCATGTAAAAGCAGTCATGTACATTGCTGGTACATGTGCATATCTAAATAAATAATGACATTTTCCCATTCTTCTGGTTCTGCCATGTCTCTGGTGACACTATCGTCACATGTTTATTCCTTTTAGCTGAAAGTTTCTACTGCTTGTTAAAGAGAAAAAAAAGACTACAGATGATTGGGAACACCATAGGAATCCACCATACTGTGATTTTTAGGAAAAAAATGCAGGGGAAAATGAGGGTAAAGTGTAGAAAACACAAATTAAAACAAGGAATGATTTCTTCCAAACATACAGATTAAATATTATATTGCAACTAGAAAATATATTTACTTCCTTTGGCATATTCAGCTTTTTATTATTATACAAGCATTAATCAGCTCATCTATGCTAAAATCTCAGTTCTGCTGCCAGATTTCAGATTTTTAAATAACTACAAGTAATGATCAGAGTTTGTACCTTTTGCTTTTCAGTTTCCTCATCCCAATAATTGGACTCTCCCAGCAAACATCTGTATAAAAATCTGCACATTAAAGCTGCAACCTGCACATCTGATTTAGGAGGCCACAATGTATAACACGTTATACCAAATAAGACTTGCTAGTCTTTAAGCTGCCACAAAAGGGCAGCTTAAAGACTTACATTCTTTTCATTGCAATGGCCTAAAACACCTCCCCTCTTGAAAACTTCGAAAGATGTTCCTTAGTGAAAGCTGGGTAGGTTTCTCAAAGTGCTAATCTTTTAATGCTACCCTTCCACATTTTCTTTCCAGTTCTCTATAATATATATTTTTTTCTTAACCCCAGCCAGTAACCTCCTGTTTTGTTTCATTGCCATGGGGTACATTGCACTAAGGCAATATATAACTTGGGTGCCACATGGAGCCCCCCTACCCTAGCTTGGCCTATGCGCTTCCAAAAAATATTTAAAATGAAAAATTGTGCTCTATAATCTCATTGTGTCCACTAGATCAGTGGTCCCCAACCTTGGGCCTCCAGATGTTCTTGGACTTCAACTCCTAGAAATCCTGGACAGCAGAGGTGCTGGTGAAGGCTTCTGGGAGTTGTGGTCCAAGAACATCTGGAGGCCCAAGGTTGGGGACCACTGCACTAGAGGACATGGGGGCAATTTTGCCATGTTTTGAGAACCCCCTGAGCACCCCTGAGGCCTCCATACTCTCAAAAGTATTATTTTATTTTAATGGCCGCAAAGGAAGCTTTTCCAGTTTTTTCTTAGAAAGCATTTTTAGATCAATTCATGTTTCATTTAACAAAAACCCATTGCAGCAATCTTCACAGCACAGAACCACAACAATACTTTTTCCAACATTAATTTAAAATCAAATATGCAAATTAGCCCCTTTCCCTTTTGGAATGTGGCCTTGAGGCTCCTGGGAAATCTGGTAAGCAGTCCTCAGACCCACTGAGCGTTCCCACCTCTGCGTTAGGGAATGAAATTCATAGCCAAGCCTGTGAAAATTACTTCTTGTATTAAAACGTCCAGAACTCCTCAACCAGAGCAGTCAATGACCATGTTGCCGGTGGGATGCTGTTAATTGTAGTCCAAGAAATCTCTCCTTCCTAACTAATACAAATCTCCTACATGTATTTACTGCGGTGTTGTGACCTTTTAACTTATTGCTTGAAATCCAGTAGTAAGTTGCAACTACAGTAGGCCCATTGAATCAATAGAACCTACAAAGGAGTTGACTCAAACCCCACCTATCCCCCAGTTCAATGAGTACAGTACACCCAAATCCAGGATTGAATTATTATTATACTAGAGATGAATTTTCCCCTATCTTAGATTTGCTAGGGACTTACATACGTCATGTTTTATTTTATTCTGTAGCCTAGAGTTAGTGGCAGAGACTTCACAACGAATGATTTTGCCATTATTGGAGTAGATTCCATCATGGGATGGCACTTTCCAGCCCAGAGAACAGCAACAGTACTGGAAACCTTTCTTTCTCCTGCCAGATCGCAGTCCTATGGCAGCATTTAAACATATAATAATTCCAGAACATGAGCAAGCCAAAAA